TATTTTGTGGCGTTGCCGTGGTGACGTGACATGTGGCAGTGCTGTTTCTTCATATTCACACCGTTTGAAGCCCTCAGACGCTCACGCTCAGTTCCTCGGGGGTCAGAGGTCGGGCAGACTGGAATCGGGCCTGAGTTTCAGGGTTGGGCCACGTTTCTGTACCAACGCTCAACGTGCAGCTAGAAGAGAGATGATTCTCTGCTCAGGTCCACGTTGCTCCTCCGGATCTCTACAAAGATGATGATTGATGAGATGTTATCGATGTGGATATCGTGTAAAGAAGATTAAAGTAAAACATCGTTCTCTCCAAAGCTGTAATGATACGTAGAAAGAAACAGAGTCACAACTCATCACAAGTCCTGAAGTCGCCCCGTGAAGGAGAGCGGCGTTCTCTCTGGAGGAAACGAGGCCGATGGAGGTGCAGCCGACGGCGAGGAGGCTTCCTCCCCCCGCTGCGGTTTCCTGTTTGGAGGCGGGAGGATGTCAAGACGGTTTCTTGCAGCGCTTCAGCTCGTTGTCGTCACGGTAACGCCTGCTGATCGGTTGGCGGTGTCAAAGCTGCAGGGCCTCGGATCAACACACACACACACACACACACACACACACACACACACACACACACACACACACACACACACCTGTGATGGCAACCTCGTGCACTCGTGTAAAGAGGACCAGAGTCTGAGTGCTGTGGTGGGGGCTAAAGGGGGAGGAGCTGATTGGCAGTAAGAAGGGGAGGAGCTGATTGGCTGCAGGAGGTGGAGCCTGTTTGAAGAAGGTCGCTGTAGATCAGACTCCAGATCAGATCAGGAGCAGAGACGTCTGCCGACATTGCGGATGTTCAGCTGTCACCTCATGTGGACCTGTCCTCCATCTGCCCTCAGGTCTAGGTGAGTCCTCTTCCAGTTATCATACGTGACCCCTACGTGATGGGGGCCCCGGGTGGGTTCTCAGCGTGCACCTGGAGCTTCTCTCTCTCGAGTAATAGCTTCAAGTACATTACTTAACAACTCTACTGATCTTTTTACTCAAATGAGTAAAAGTTGTAACCCTTTTAAGTTTTGAATGTTTTTTTTCTCAATTTTGAGGTACTTGTACTTACGTATTTTTAGTTTTTATTTCTCCTACATTTTAGAGTTTTTGATTTTTACAGCACTGAACCATCCCCTGCTTTGTGGGTTGTTGGAGACCTGTCAATCAGCGTGTAGCCCCGCCCTCAAGCGTCCCCTGCTTTATGGTCTGTTTCACCATAATTCACTAAATGAACATCATCTGTGTTGAAGAAGACTTGAAACTAGAGACTGAGACATAAACTCGTGTTTACAACGTTTACTGAGGGAGTCAGTTTCTCATAGACGTCTATGGGAGCAGAGGAGTCGCCCCCTGCTGGTCACTACAGAGAAGTAGAGTCATTTCCTCATAGACGTCTATGGGAGCAGAGGAGTCGCCCCCTGCTGGTCACTACAGAGAAGTAGAGTCATTTCCTCATAGACGTCTATGGGAGCAGAGGAGTCGCCCCCTGCTGGTCACTACAGAGAAGTAGAGTCATTTCCTCATAGACGTCTATGGGAGCAGAGGAGTCGCCCCCTGCTGGTCACTACAGAGAAGTAGAGTCATTTCCTCATAGACGTCTATGGGAGCAGAGGAGTCGCCCCCTGCTGGTCACTACAGAGAAGTAGAGTCATTTCCTCATAGACGTCTATGGGAGCAGAGGAGTCGCCCCCTGCTGGTCACTACACAGAAGTAGAGTCATTTCCTCATAGACGTCTATGGGAGCAGAGGAGTCGCCCCCTGCTGGTCACTACAGAGAAGTAGAGTCATTTCCTCATAGACGTCTATGGGAGCAGAGGAGTCGCCCCCTGCTGGTCACTACAGAGAAGTAGAGTCATTTCCTCATAGACGTCTATGGGAGCAGAGGAGTCGCCCCCTGCTGGTCACTACAGAGAAGTAGAGTCATTTCCTCATAGACGTCTATGGGAGCAGAGGAGTCGCCCCCTGCTGGTCACTACAGAGAAGTAGAGTCATTTCCTCATAGACGTCTATGGGAGCAGAGGAGTCGCTTTGACACGTTCATCAGATTGAGTCCACTGCTGCTCTAAAGTTTTGTCCCTAAGGAGACGTGCTATTTATGATCCAAACGTTCCTCCACATGAGACGTAATCAGCCGTGAATATGTTTCATTAGAACCATTTCATTGAGTCTTCTATCGATTACTCACTATGAATAACTTTAAACCTCTGATGTCAGCTCTCTCTCCCTCGTATCACCAGAATCAATAATTATTGATAAGGAACGTTGGCAAACAGTGACTTCCTGTCATTGGTCAGGTTTCCTCTTCATGCTGCTTTCTTCCCTCAAATACGCTTTACCTCAGTGAGACTACAAGTACAACACTCCGTCATAAGGACAAGTACACAAGAATAGCCTGAAAAATGTACAGCAGTACGAGAAGTGAAAGTTTTTGGGAAGCAGTGTTGTAGAATGTAAAAAAAAGCATTTTAATTGACAGAACACGTTGTGTACTAGTGGCTGACTGTGTGATGGTAGTACTTGATGGTAGTAGCTATGACGACGATCCTCACATTCCCCTCTTGTAAGGAAGAAGAAGAGCACATGTTCCAATACTTGATACACAATACTGGACCGTACACAATACTTCTGTGAAATGTGTCAGAGACCATCATCTCGGTCCATCTGGTTGTCATGTGGTCTCACGTGGTCCTCCTCAGGTCAAAACATGGCTGACTCGGGGCTCTTCTGGGTTCTGGTGGCTGCCGTTGTCGTCTCCACGGTCGTGCTGGCGGTGGTCTGCCTGCGATGCCGCCGAGGCCCTCAGGGTGGGACGCCGTCACAATGGCTCATGAATCCTAAAGTTATTTTCTTGAACTAAAGTTCCCTGTTTCCTCCCGTCAGTCTGCATCAGCCCAGCCAACATCTCAGAGGACTACCTGCCGTAAGTCTCTGGTGCAAAAGTGGTGATGATGATGATGATGATGTCATAGCTTCAAATGAGATCAGCACTGAGTGTCTTCTTCTTTCCATCAATCAGATCTCCTCAGTTTAGAGTCATCCATCCATGTGAGTGAGAATCAGTTGCAGGAAGATGCTCCGCCTCCAAAGCCTCAGTCAGCTGTTTCATTTTCATACCAGAAGATGAAGTCTAACGATGAATGAACAATAATACATTATGAATGTCTCATAAGTCAAATGTAACTATATACTGATACAGATCAGCACGCGTCAGGGTCTTTAAACCTTCAGGCCGACTCTACGCTGACGATGATGTTCTTTACACGTCTTTATAGCCTTGATCATGATGTCATCATTGTGTGACTGTTGATTTGCAGCCCAGACGAACCCTGACCTGAACCATCCCTCCAACCAGTTGTCGCCTCAGTGAGTGACGTCATCATAACAAAGGACACCTGGGTCACACCTGCTGGTGACATCACACAGGCTCAATATGTGCAGCCAGAGTATCATTGTAATCTCTTATCTTTAATGCACTGAATATTTGCTCAAACGTTAAATATAAACTATTTATGTATACATACTGTGTACAATCATTTCTAAATGAAAGAATATGTATATTGTTTCTAAACTACAGTAAATGATCTGTAATATAATTAAAACAAATATTTTTATGTTATGTGATGGTTTTCACATTATGACCATAATTTCGCAAAATATTTTCAGTGTATTTGCTCAATGAAAACACGATTTTTATATTAGTAAAACCGCTTCATATTCATAGTTTATCATGTTTCTGTTTTTGTAAAATTTATCAAACTATTAAATACCAGCTCTATTTTTCATCCTCAGTTTTCCGTCAGCTGATCCTCAAAATCACAGGAGACACCGATCGTTCACTCCGACAGAAACAGGTCAGACGCTAAAGTACTGGATAGTATCTCTATTATCTCCATTACACTGGATAGTATCTCTATTATCTCCAGTACACTGGATAGTATCTCTATTATCTCCATTACACTGGGTAGTATCTCTATTATCTCCATTACACTGGATAGTATCTCTATTATCTCCATTACACTGGATAGTATCTCTATTATCTCCAGTACACTGGATAGTATCTCTATTATCTCCAAAACACTGGGTAGTATCTCTATTATCTCCAGTATACTGGAAAGGATCTCTATTATCTCCATTACACTGGATAGTATCTCTATTATCTCGCGTACACTGGGTAGTATCTCTATTATCTCCATTACACTGGATAGTATCTCTATTATCTCCAGTACACTGGGTAGTATCTCTATTATCTCCATTACACTGGATAGTATCTCTATCATCTCCATTACACTGGATAGTATCTCTATTATCTCCATTACACTGGATAGTATCTCTTTTATCTCCAGTACACTGGGTAGTATCTCTATTATCTCCAGTACACTGGATAGTATCTCTATTATCTCCATTACACTGGATAGTATCTCTATTATCTCCAGTACACTGGATAGTATCTCTATTATCTCCAGTACACTGGGTAGTATCTCGATTATCTCCATTACACTGGATAGTATCTCTATTATCTCCATTACACTGGGTAGTATCTCTATTATCTCCATTACACTGGATAGTATCTCTATTATCTCCATTACACTGGGTAGTATCTCTATTATCTCCAGTATACTGGATAGTATCTCTATTATCTCCATTACACTGGATAGTATCTCGATTATCTCCATTACACTGGATAGTATCTCTATTACCTCCAGTACACTGGATAGTATCTCGATTATCTCCATTACACTGGATAGTATCTCTATTACCTCCAGTACACTGGATAGTATCTCTATTATCTCCATTACACTGGATAGTATCTCTATTATCTCCAGTACACTGGGTAGTATCTCTATTATCTCGCGTACACTGGGTAGTATCTCTATTATCTCCATTACACTGGATAGTATCTCTATTATCTCCAGTACACTGGGTAGTATCTCTTTTATCTCCATTACACTGGATAGTATCTCTATTAT